ACAACTTTGTATTAAAGTGATTGAGCTAACGAATTAAAACTGCAGAATGCAATCCTCTCCTTCATCAGTGATCTCCAGGTACCAGGTTTTGAAAATCGATTTCAAGACTTGTTTCAGGTCTTGATTTTTATTTTCAAGACCTGGTTCAAGCTTTAGTCAGCCCCAATCTCCCCTGATGATAATCAATGCCGCCCCCAGCTTTTAGAATGCGGGTTTTACCTAAAATACCAAAACTGATTGAAAACAATAGAAAATGGGTGTGGTAGGTCAGTAACTATTGTTCATTCCTCCAAAATGGCCGCCGGTCTTTTATATTTCGAATCTCATGGGAATGGGTGAAAAGGATCAATAGAGTCACGGTTGTAAATTTTGTTAGGCTTCTATGAACTGACCAGGGCAACTGCAGTTGCTGTTCACGATAAACTATGGCAATGGAGTCGGAAGATGATGAGATGTTCATAACTCCTTCGAGTTTTAGAAGCCAGAAAGACCGAGAAATAGATTATGGTGACTTCAGTCTCGAAGAATATCTCGGGCCTGAACTGTTTGAGCATGCTGAGCTTATTGAGTCACCACAAAAATTAATCGAATCTACAAATCGATTTCAAGAGCCGCAAACCTCGAGTCGGTTTGGAGAACCTTTGTCGCACAGTGAAGTCCAGGACAAAATTGCAATTTCCGTTCCAAAGAATACCACTTACAAGGACAATTGGGCGGCGAATCTGTTTGAAAAGTGGAGGTAGGAAAGAAATATAAGAGTCTCCAGTAGTAAATGTGGTCTAGAGATAGTGCAGAATTCTCTCGAAGACATGCCTGACGAAGAGCTCAACAACACCCTGTCTTTATTTGTTTGCGAAGTTAGAAAGGTTGATGGTACTAAATATCCTCATAGTAGCTTACATGGAATTATTTCTGCCATCCAGCATTTTCTGAAAACCAAAGGAAGACCAGTAAAGCTTTTCAATGATGAAAAGTTTTCATATCTGAGAGATGCCCTAAACACTGCAATGAAAGACAGCGCATCAAGTGGTCTTGGAATAAAGAAAAAACAGGCACAAGTAATAACATTGGATGAAGAGGACRAATTGTGGTCAAAAAATGTACTCGGAGATGATAATCATCAACAGTTGTTGGACACACTGCTTTATCTATTTGGTCTACATTTTGCCTTAAGAGGAGGAATGGAACATCGAAGGCTTCGATTACAAAATTCCCAAATATCACTAGCAGAAGACAAAAAGTTGGGTTTCAAATTTCTTGAATACCAGGAAGACGTATCCAAGACAAATGCCGGAGGGCTGAAGCACAGGAAAGTTGTACCCAAAGTAACACGAGCGTACGAGAATAAAGTCAACAAGAAGCGCTGTGTTGTGAGATTGTACGAGAAATACGTCAGTTTATGGTGAGTTCAGCGATTGTTACCAAATTTAGTATTTATCGTCTTGCTGTCCGGTAGTTAACGATGATAAGGCTGGGCATTTTTAAAATATTAAAATAACGTTATTAAAATAACGTTATTAAAATAACGTTGATTAAAAAACCTTGATGAATATAGAACGTTAACAAAATCATATGGACTTTATTCAGTACGGTTATTGTTTGCACTATAAATTTTGTAGCCGTTGAAGGGATAGGCGCGTTCATTCTACTATATTTATATTTCATTGTATTTTAATATAGTCCAAAAGATGCTACTGCATTTTATCTAACACCACTCAAGTGCCCAAAGGAGAATGTGTGGTTCAGCAGTGTTCCTGTTGGACATAACAAGTTAGGCTCTACTGTCAAGAGACTGTGTGAATCTGGAGGCATTTCTGGCCACAGAACCAATCATTCACTTCGAGCAACGACRGCTACACGACTATACGAGCATGGGGTAGACGAGCAGCTTATTTGCGAAAAAACAGGTAAGATTATTAATTTTAAGTTTTTTTATTGCTAATTCACAAAAAAATACATTATTTCGATTTATTTCAATGTAGGCCACCGAAGTAATGCAGTTAGATCGTACAAGCGTACTTCCAAAGAGCAAGAGATAAATGTTTCTGAGATTCTTTATGGAGCTGCTACTAAAAAGTTCAAGCAAGAAGAAGAGAAGCCAAAGCATGAATGCCCAACGCTCAAAAAAGAAAATCAAGATAGAAATCAAAAGGTCCCTATCAATATTAACTTGAATTTTGTTTTGAATTAAAGCATAATATATATATATATATATAATATTATTATATATAATTTGTTGTACTTCGATGCTATTGTTAAATTTAGATTTCATTTTTGGAGCCAAAATCTATTAATAAATCTATTACTATATCTATGTMTTTTGTTTTTAATTCAAGATCGGGGCTGGCTATAGACTACGTACCCGGTCTTGAGAATCAAAATAAAGACCCGCACCGGGTCTTTAATTTGATTTCCAAGACCGGGTAAAGAGTCTATAGTCAGCCCCGATCTCCCCTGATGATAATCAATGCTGCCACCGACTTATAGAATGCTGGTTTTTCTCAAAATATCAAAACCGATTGGAAACAAAAGAAATGGGTGTGGTAGGTCTGTAATAGCAGCACCTCTACGACTACAAACAATGTTATTAAAGGTGAAAGGATATGATCTTAAAGTAGAGTACCTACCTGGAAAGAAACAATTCATTGCAGATGCGCTTAGCAGAGCAAGCTCTGAGGAACCAACGGAAGAGGACATTGACTTCAAAGTGAACATGATTGACAGGATGTCTGTCTCAAAGGCTAAGTATTCAGAGTTCCAACGCAAAACT